GCCGTGAAGGCGGGTGGGAACGCGGTCGAAGACGCGTCTGCTGTGGTTCCCTCGTAGGTGTGGGTAGTTACATGTGGTCATTTGTTACTCCGTCGCAGAGCCAGCTTATGCTCGTGTATGCGCGATCCAAGCAGATGTCAAGTCTGTCTTCTGCGTAGTTTTGAGGACAGTCTAGGCACGGGACGCGATAAACTACATGGGCCTATTCACTGGGATTTAATTGGTCCTTGATTTTCATGAGCCTGCTGTGCATGGTAGCATTGAGCCCGTGTTCATCACCTGCTTGTAGACAGTTGTTTCTACTTCGCCGTTCGACGTGCACATATGCAACGTAGAACATGGGAAAAGAACACTCACTGGCTTTGCTTTAAGTTGCAGGCAGGGTTTAGGTTTTGTCTCACGGTTAGAACGCGAGATCAGGTGTACACTTCCTTGAATATAGCGCAAACTCATATGTATTCCTGGAGGGGGGGGAGGGCGGACAAAGATACGTGTCCCAACTTATGTGCAACCAACAACCAACGACACCAATTCCCCCTAAGACCTCTGAACTACACGATGTATAGGTCCGACGCAATTAACGTCAGCGTTATCTTAGAATGAAGGCAAGTTCACAAAACAATGAAACATGCCTGGGTCACGTTGTGTGTTTTGCAGACAGCACTAATACCCCCCCCAATAACCCTGTGGATATTGGACTGCATGAATACTTTCAGAAGTTGTCAAGGGCGGAAGTTCTAACATGAGAAACAAAATCGGTGAACTGCAGCAGTGTGGACTACGGGTGAGCCTACACAGGAGACAACAGTGCTTTGTCTAGTTTAGTTGGAGTGAGTGAGTGACTGGAAATATTCCCGCCCCAAAGCCTGCGCCTGGTAGTAGACACATGAATCTTAAAACAGGCGTCTGGATAATTAGTGCTGCAACCGACAGATAAACAGTCTCAGACCGTGCAGAGGCAATGCCTTAAGGTGCAAAATTGACTATTCTTATAAAAGCCACAAGTTCGACGGACGATGTCTACCACGTACTTCAGCATGCTGAGGGCAAACGCAGTGACTTGCGCCGGGATTAGTTTTAAGTGACAGTAGACTTGCGCAGCATCTACCGCACTCGCTCTTTCGCCATCCAACTCTGTCTGGTGTCAAGACAGAATCAAGAAGACCGGAGCCGGAGTCAGGCGTGGGTGGCTGGCGCGGCCGAAGCCCCCCCATGTTTGCTACGGGCCGCATGGTTGATGCGTTGGACCAACCCGGCGGTCAAATTAGGGTACGGAAAGCGTTATTCGGGTTGCACTCCCATAAAGGCTGCAAATTGTTGTAGTATAACGACATTGTGAATGCCGTGCAAGCAGGCAGGGAGGTTTCACCCAATGTCCGGAACAATTTTGCAATCTTGAATGGCTGCATACTGCAGAACATAAAGCAGAACCGTCCTACACAAAGGCTACCTGCGAGCAGCAGCCTAACTTGAAAGCAGAAGGCCTGTTGTAGCGTCTTACGCCCCGTTTGGACTTTACGATGGTTAATGGCACGGATGAGAGCGGTACGGTGACCGACAGTTCGACCGTCGCGCTCGACGATGTCCACTACGGGCCTTGCCAGGCTGAGACAAACGCGGTGACTTGCGCTGGATTATAGTGAAAGTAGATTCGCGGAGTATCTACCCCACTGCCCTTATCGGGACCCGGTGTCAAAACAGAAGTCCAGAAGGCCAATGATGGAGGATGGCGCAGACAGTGTGCGCGAAACACACTCCGACACGCGTACCAAAATCACGCCTCGCTAGGCAGGCTCCCGCCTGACAGCGCCATAAAGGCCACATTAAGAAGGAGCCATTGAGCCTGACACTTAGCCTGCAGTTAGCCACTCCACACAACAAGACACACTGGACCGACTGCGGTGTCCAAGTTGTCCCGTCAGTTGGCAACCCTTTAAGCCACGGTGACCACTACCATCAATAATAGCATGGTACCCTCAGACTGCCGTCCTCCCTGCCCGCGCACGTGCGCAAAGACAGCTCTTCTCGGACAAACAGCAGCAATGACCGTCTAGGGGAATGCAGCGAGCACAAAAACCCTTTTTGTCAGACTCACGTTTAAAACGAATATCCAAACCACTGAATTCCAGCTCCACACCGGTGAGTGCTTCTGCGAGGCTTTCATGGTAGTGTTCAATTTCCTTTTGCGGTCCCTTGCAGAATGGCAGACTGAAGTAGTTGTAGGTTTCCTGGAGGTTGTGATAGGGGCCGACTGTGTTCATCCAGAGGACCACCTGTTCGGCGTCCTTATACTGAAGAAGCAGAAAGAGGGCAGTTGTTAAGGGGAAAAGAAGACAGTACCATTTCTTGTTTATTAGTGCTCGTC